CAGTTGCTGCGTTAATGGAAATTAATTCGAAGTCCATTCTTATTCCTTCGACCTGTTTCCAAGCGATAATTTCCTTTCCTCCAAACTAAAACGCTCTTTCCGTTGATTTCATTTCCTGTCTGATGATGAGATTATGGAGACCGTCGTAGAGTGGTATGAATGTAAACTCCCTGGCTTTTTTCTTAGAATGGCACATATTTGACAGAAGTGTTAACCCTGGCGCTTACCACTAATGATACAAATTATATCATCAATTGTTGACGATTTGATTTACTGACGCCATGAAATTAGTATTCAAGAAATTTAATGATAATCGACGTCCAATCATGATACAAATTATATTGTCATAGGATAATGATGTCGTCCACACTTGATTTCCAAAGATCTTGGTATGCGGCATAAAGGGTGACTTGTTTGTAGCTCACTTGAGCTGAAAGCTCGAGTGAGCTTTTCTGTAGGATCACAATTTGTCTGTAGTTCGGCTGTCCATTTGTCTGTCTGTCTAGCTGTCTGTTCGTCCGTCTGTAAACTTTTCACATTTTCGACTTCTTTTCGACCGGAACCACTGGACCAAGCTAAACCAAACTTGCCACAAAGCATCCTTGAGTAAAGGGGATTCAAGTTTGTTCAAATGAAGGGCCATGTCCTCTTTCAAGGGGAGATAATTCGGAAGTACTGAAAATTCGGTGGCATGTTTTAAAAATCTTCTTCTCAAGAACCACTGGGCCAAAAAGTGGAAACATATACTAGGAAACCTTCTTTGAATAGTGTAGATTCAAGTTTGTTCAAATGATGACCCCGGGTGTACGGTGGGGCCACAATGGGGGATCAAAGTTTTACATACGAATATTTAGAAAAAAATCTTTTAAAAACTTCTTCTCAAGAACAGCAAAGTCATGTTTTGTCACATTGATATTGAAGCATCCTCAGGTAGCGTAGATTCAAATTTGTTCGAATGATGACCCATGGGGGTAGGGTGGGGTCACAATTGGGGATCAAAGTTTTACAAAGGAATATATAGGAAAAATCTTTAAAAGTCTTCCTCTCAAGAACAGTCAGACCATGTTTAGTCATATTGATATGAAAAACATCCTCAGGTAGTGTAAATTCAAGTGTGTTCAAATGATGACCCCCGGGGTAGGGAGGAGCCACAATGGGGGATTAAAGTTTAAGTTTTAGATAGGAATATACAGAAAAAAATCTTTAAAAAATGATTTCTCAAAACAGCAAAACTATGATTACTCATGTTGATATGGAGGCATCCTCAGGTAGTGTAGATTCAAATTTGTTCACACGATGACTCCCGGGGATAGGGTGAGATCACAATTGGGAATCAAAGTTTTACAAAGGAATATATAGGACAAAATGTACTTTACAAATCTTCTTCTTAAGAAGAGTAAAACCTTGTTTAGTCATATTGATATGGAAGCATTCTCAGGCAGTGTAGAGTCGAGTTTGTTCAAATGAAGACCCCCGGGGGTATGGTGGGGCCACAAAGGGGATCAAAGTTTTACATAGGAATATATAGGAAAAGGTCTTCTCAAGAATAGAAAAGCCTTGTTTAGTCATATTGATATGGAAGCATCCTCAGGTAGCGTAGATTCAAGTTTGTTCAAATCATGACCCCCGGGGGTAGGGAGGGGCCACAATGCGGGATCAAATTTTTACAAAGGAATATATAGGAAAAAATCTTTATAAGAATCTTTAAAAATCTTCTGCTCAAGAACAGCAAAGTCATTTGTTATATTGATCTTGAAGCATCCTCGGGTAGTGTAAAATTCAAGTCTCCCTCTCAACTTTTCAATGCTGAACTGATTTGTGCTTTTTCCTAGCCAATGTGCTCTGGTGAGCGATTTGGCTAATGGGCCTCTTGTTATGGTTTGTATTCAGAAAAAAGGCAGCTGCAAGATAAGTTGAGGCAATAGGCAAGGCTCTTGGGCAATTTTGTGTTTTTACCTTTTGTTAACGTAATTTTTTTTTTTATCTTTCCATCTTCATAACATGTAATTTTACCTTTACTATTTATTAAAAGATTGTTCTGTGCAAGCTTAGAAATTTCAAATTAATTAAATCATTATAGTATATTTTACTGATTATAGATTTCTTTTTGCGTGCAGAAAAAAAGGCTGTTGGCAATTTCATCAATATAGCATATAATGCATGAAAAAACCCTAATATTAATGTCTTAATGAGCACTTTTATGAAATATAGGAAGTGATCGAAATATTTTGTCTTAATTGTTTCTAGAAAAAAATGAGACAAGTCCCGCATCCGGAGGGCTGATAAGAAGTGCGAGGAAATCGTAAATCAGAACTGTACACGATCCCATCGATTTACCGGTTTCTTTGTCGTTTTAATTAGCATACAACAGCTGGTGTCCTTAAACTCATTTCCAGATATGACTAAAGTGTTTGTCTTCCCCCTGTTCTTGATTCAATCGCATTTAACCATTCTATTTGAATTTAAAAGTTTTTTGGTTTTTCGTCTTTAGTTGAAGCTGATGTGTTTCAAGATCTGAGTTGAAGCTGTCTGGTTTTCAAGAATTAATTACCAGAAATGCAAACGATTGTATTATTCTATAACCTCTGAGGACATCATGTGTAAACGTCTAACATTTGGCTATGCATTTTTTTTTTATCGCTTTTGTCGGAAAGCAAGTACAAAAATAAATCAAGTATATAGCTAAATGTCTTTACCATATATATATTCATGTTTAGCACATAGCTAAATGTCTTAACATATATATTAATATTTAGCACATTCAGAAATGTGCTTAAATCTACGTTAACTAATTAATGAATCAGTTTCCACCAAATATTGTAAAATGTTTTGTGCACTATAATGAGTAAATATGGTACATTTACAGTATTAAATAATGTAAATTTCTGTAATATTATTCTGTGCGATTTTAGGTCCTGACCGTAGTAGCTATTTTGAAAATGAATGAACCAACTTTAAAGCAATGGGGGTGGGGCGTACACAAAGCTAAATTTTTCGCATATTTTTTTCTGTTAATGTCACAGGCACCGGTAACATACTATGCTTGATTTAACGTGATCTCTCTCTCTCTCTCTCTTAATATATATATATATATATATATATATATATATATATATATATATATATATATATATATATATATATATATATATATATATATATAATTTTTTCGGTTATGAAAAAAAATTGACATACTAGAATATAGAGTTACTCATCTGCTATTTGTCCCTTTTTACACATATGACAAAGTCTATCATTTTGGGGAATTCCACACCATGATGATTTGTTGTTTTGAATTTGATACAAATTGTTTTAAATTTTTTAGGTAGTATATTCAATTTTTTTTCATATCCAAATTTTGTTTTAATTGAAACATATCCACAACCATACACTCCAACCCTAGTAGCTTGTATACTAGTTATTGCTATGATGTACACCTGTCATGACCACAAGCGGACCCAGGATTTGGAGTTGGATGCCAGCTAATATCAACCATGAGGTCCATGACAAAGTCCCTGGAAGCTCCTGGATTCTAGAAGTTTTGTAAGGCAAAAATGAAGTACTCTAAGTAGATATTTTACTATTTCTTGTCATCATGATCAAGATCATTCCAAAGGAGAATTTATTAAACTACAAATATTTTTGTACATGTATATCTGATTTGTTGAATCAAAGTCTAGTCCTGTGTCAAGAAACTCTCCTGCCTTGTAAGGATATAGAAATGAAACTTTATATTTACACCGGGGCTTTGTCCGATAATTATCATTTCTTTTCATGGAAGAAACCATGATTTATATTGAATTTTACAACTTTAGTGGAGGGGGGGGGGGCACGCCGGGTGATCCCTTCCTTTAAATCCGCCACTGATTGTTATTTATTGCAACCCAATAATTAGAGAAATGTTTAATTATAGTTTTAGTCTTTTTGTCTGGAATACGTGTTTCTGCGGTTTCAAAAATAAGTTAATTAATATATGCACAAGAAAAGCAGTTTTAACTCTTTGCCTCTTTATTTAACCACATAATAAATAAAGAAAGAAAGAAAGAAACTAAGAAAGAAAGAAAGAAATAATTTGTTAGATAAATAATAGACATTGATTGTTTTCTGTTCATTTTGCTTTAATTAAACCAACTGCCATATAGCCGCAATTTAAAAAAAAAATCTGCTGCTGCTGATAACAAAAATAAAGACAAATTCAAATTTAAGTGAGATTTTCATTTAATAGCGAGCGCAGCGAGCGGCGCGAAGCGCCGCTCGTCACTGCGAGCTCTAACGACAACGCCTGGGCGAAGAGAAAATTCGGACTACTGCACATTCATTCAATAGAATTTTTTTCCGCAGTAATTCTGACCCACAATGCATTGCTTCTTGTTCTCGCTGCTAACTTCATTCACGCGGTAGCAACAACTAAAATTTCACAAAAAATAAACTCACCTTAATTTAATGGATATTGCATGCAGATAGTAGATTAAACGTTCTTTGTTAAAATATGTGCACTTTTTAAACTTTGTTTATGGAAATGCAGCTAACGTACGTCATGTGACGTCACAGTCTAGACGTTCCAAATGTCTCGTGCGGTTTGAAGAGGCGGATCTTAAAATGAAGTGAACAATGCGCTCGCCCCAACGGTCGCACCGTCAACATATTACTATGCAGTGATTTTAATATTCTAATACCCTTGTAATTTATGAAAGAAAAATTAAAACCAATAAATATAAAATATAAACTTATTCTATTCTACATTATCAAAGATTTATATACTTCTTTTCTCCCCTACAAAATATATATATATATATATTTCAAATCGAAATCTATGTACAGAATCTCGTCCAAAATGACAAGCAAATTACATCATCGCTTAGCAACCAGTGCATAGTGCCCATCCGAGTCATTATAGCGTTTTAATCGATCTGAGAAAAACATTGCACTTCCTGTACAGGAAAGCGCGCGTTACACTCGGATACACAACCAGACGATCACGTTGTTTACTTGATTTTTCGTTCAATAAATTGGATATGTATACATGAAATGATTGACGGGAGTATAAATTTAGAATGCTGGTAAGTATGTACCTTTGCATCAGTCGATTGGGATGCAGTAGGTTTTGAGGAAGTTAAACTGTTGAATGGTAGGTTTATATAACGAATTTTGGTTTTATCACTATGGCCAGTACGGCGTACGACGGTACGTAAGATTAGTCCTGCAATATGCCAATGGTGCCTTACAAATATCAAATTATCGTACTGTTATGTGCATCATGACATATTTTTATTCACTGTATATTTGTTGATTACAGGAATCATGCTGCATCTTATGTTCCAATGATAATCAATTAACTGAATTATAATTTATTACGGTAGGCCTACCGCACAACTGTACAGCTGTACAGTGAATGAGTGTATGTATAATCAGGTAATGGCTGAAAGTGGTACTCTCTAGTCTATTTAATGTAATAGGCTTATACATTTTTATATGTCAAGATATTTTTATCCCTGGCCCACGATCCAAAATGCTCAACTGAGCTTGTCTGAACAAAGAATGAGGTCTGTTATCAGTACTCACCGGGATATATCGTATCGACATAAGAATGGAAACAACTTTTGTTAATTGACAATACGTCGTTGATATATCTAAATGTCGAGTTGAAAGCCATAGCAAGTGTTTTCTTCCTTTCACATATTATGATTTTGAACAAAGTCTGCTTCATATGAATACAAAATACAATATACCTTCATCATCTGCATACGGGGTTTATATCTCTTGGTTGATTCGATATGTATGAGCATGCTCTACGTATGAGCAATTTCAAAAATGAGGTAAGTTATTGACAAACAAGTTGATGAAACAAGAATATCAGCAGTTTTGTGTAAAGTCGTCATTTCGTAAGTTCTATGGTCTTGTCAGAAAATACAATTTATCATTAAGTCAAATGCTGACTGACGTTTTTCATACTAATTTTTAGGCCATTATTTACGCACTGAAATGTCAACAGATTTTTCTGTTATTTCCCGATCATGACAAGGAGCACACGGCGGGTATGACCGGTCGGCAGGGGATGCTCACTCCTTCATGGCACCTGATCCTGCCTCTGATGTTTTAGAGGTCCGTGTTTGCTCTGCTCCAAAATTTGTATTGATTAATGGACTTTTGAGTTTGAATACTGTTCGTTATCTCCATACATTTCATTCCATTAGTGTATAGCTTCAAATGTCACTGAATCGGCAATGCAAGCATGGCATCTAGGGCTAGGGTAGGACTGTAAGAGGATTAAGGTACATTATACATAAAAATAAAGTGGTTGGGATTTCCAACTCAACATATCCTTGGTATTTGAGATATCTATAACAAAGTTCAAATCAATGTAGTCTTTTTATTATGCTTATATATATGCATTTTTATGTACTGTAGAATCAAGTTTGGTCATGTAATAGATTCTGGAGCTATAGGAATAGGATTGGGCCATAGTACAGACCTGTAGTGTACGTTCAGGGGTGGGATGGGGATTGGAGTATGATTTCACTATTTTCTGAGAAGAACCTTTAGCTGATAGTCATGCTTGGAAAGGTTAACTATTTACACTTTATAGTATATATCTATAGAGAGATGATTTAATTTGTATGACCCTATTTCTTCAATCAGCCATAGTTTGAATTTGTAATGATGTGTATTTCATATTGATTCAGCAGTTGTATCAGCATCATATCAAAGGAATCTGTATCAATGATATATCATTTAATAACCCAGTAATAAAAAGCCACCTTAATACAATACAGTGTTTATCTTTTGTGAAGGCAACAAGTACATGCTAGTAAAGTTTACAATTTCTCTGGTATATTTTACAACATTAATCAAAAAAAAAATAATAAATAAATGTAATAAAAAGTGTTAAAAAAGGTTGAAATTTGTTTTACAAAATGGTGTGGTCAACCTGTATTACTCCCCAGTTGTGTTTAATTATAAAGTTTATATATGTTAAAATGAAAAAAAATATATATACTGGTAAATAAAAAAAATATTAAAATCAGTGAGTTTCAGTTACAAACACAGCATATAACATATAGTAAACTAAGTTTACTGCAATGTACATGTAAATATATATATATATATATATATATATACATATATATATATATATATAGATATAGATACATATATATATATATATATACCAAATAAATTAGAAAAAAATATGATCATGTATTTCATTACCTGGGTTCACTGACTAAAGCTATCGGTTGAGATAATTTAATGGAACATTTTTTTATTTTGAAAATTCTAATGTTTAAAATCTTTTTTAGAATTACACAATACGCTGTTGATCAACATGTAAGACAGGAAGGATGGCCTAACTGAATGGAGAAGAAAGTAACGAGGGTCAGTCCAGCTGACCCCTCCGACACCATATCATACGAGATGGGGACCCCTAAACGCAACAAGAGTTTGGTCAGTCTCCATTTCAATGAAGAGGCAGTTGATGCCCAAAATGTTGGGGCTGCCCCTGAGGTAAGGTAGAAACTTTACAGTGAATTAAACTTCTTTGTCCTGGGATAATTTAATTCATATAAGCTTTTATAAACTGATTATAAGGTGTACCTTACCTCCTCTATCCTTTGCAGTTACCTATCAAATTATATTCTCAAACAAACATCGTAAGTTAAGCGATAATTCAGACTTAATTTTGATTATGGCGACAATGCAGAATGAACTTTCTTGACATCTTTTCTGAAATTTTTTTAAAGCATATGCAATTTCAGTTTAAAATTGAAATACAATATATGTAGTATTCTGATTATATATAAATATAAGCACAATGTTACTACATGTACATGAACATCTTTATAGTCTTACAGTTTACACTTTATAGTGTAGCTATGTCGAGAATTTTTGATACGATTAACCGACTAATCGGTCGGAACGTCTTGCGGTTAACCGATTGGCAATTTTGTATTTGATTGCCATCCCTAATGTATATATATGCAGAACCAAGTATAATGACATTTCCTGTAATATACAGTATGACCTTCAATTACAAATGGGTGGAGTAGCAGAGATAGTATAACAGTTTTCATAGATAATGGATTAATAGAGCAAAAGAACAAAACAAACCATAAATCCAATGGGATCAAAACGATTATCAATACCAGTCACACTTCAGCATCAATTCTATATACCTGCATAAATACTGATGCATGTCTGTATACATTGTCTCATTAAAAATGCACATGACTGGAGCCTGTCAGGAGATATAATTACATAGAGTTTAATTATTTAGGTACATGTAGCATACAGTCAAATTAACTGCAATTCATTAATCCATTGCATTTGCAAGATGTAGATACTAGATAATAAATCTGAATAATGTAATTAAAGGTTGTAGAAACTGTCTATAGTTCACTGATTTTGTAATGGTGTATATATATATATATATAAGTACATCAGAGGACATATGTTCATTTGCATAATAAATGGCAAAACTATATGTATATATATATTTATATAATGTCATAAATCCAAAAACTCACTTTTTTCCTTATTACATTTTTTATAAACTACTAGATCTAGAAATTTTTATTGTGTCAACATTGACGCAACCACTTTTGCAGTATAATAATCATTGGTCAAACCAAATATAATTGTGATGTAAACCTTATACAATCTTTGATATACTAGGGGATTATATGATATATATATATATATATATATATATATATATATATATATATATATATATATATATATATATATATATATATATATATATATATATATATATGACTTAACTTCAAAAATACCAGTACATTACTCCTAAAGCACATTTTCTTTAATTAAATAAAAATACATGAATCATAGTCATAAATTTCTCTGTGTTTTTGCAGGTGAATATGACCTTTGAACAAAGATGGATTCGTGACAACATCAAAATGAGGGTCTGTAAAAAGTTTGTAGAGAAACCAGTGGAGGTCAACAGGTAATTATAGCCAGTGATTGTGTCCTTTGAGCAAGTTCTGAGAATGTACATGCTACTAACAAAAGAAAACAAAATCACTTTTTGTTCAAGTTACAAAAGTGAACATAGCATTAATTATAGATCTACTGTCTTTTTTCCCCCAGTTATTTATAACAGTTAGTAGCCCAGGGCTCTCTTTAATGACGATGGACCTAATTCATTTCTGCAATAGATTTTTTATTCAAATTTTAATATGAGGTAAAGTGACTTTTGGTGAGTTAAAATCAATAAAAAAAAATCATGTGGTCATCGATGTAGATTTTTAATGGGGAGTGTTTCAAAAGTTGGCGATGGGAATCGATAATTACCATAGAAAGTAATGGGAAATTGCCAGTGTAGGGTATAAGAGTGATCATTGAAAAAATTCTGCAATAGAATTTTTATTCATATTTAAGGACAATGTTAACAAGAAATGTACCAGAAAATTATGCCACAAAATAAATGGGTCATCTGCTTAGATTTTTTAGGGGGGCATGTCAAACTCAGGTGTAGGGCACATTTTTGGGGAAATTTTCAATGAAAATACTTTGGCCAAATAAATCATTAATTCATAAAATCAACAAATGAATATAAATTGAAATATTTACAATATTTTTGAATTGAGAGGAAATGTTTGAATATCTTTAAAAGAATTAAAAATGACTGTATAATTTTTTTTATCTTTTGCAATACATAATCAAGTCAATTTGATTCAAGGCATATGTGCAGTTTTCTGCGCAGTGGCGCGAAATTTCGAATTAGGTCCGTTGTCCTTCAATGCATTTATTCCTAAAAAAAATCTACCTCCCAAATCATGAATTTATTATAAATGCATCTCTGGGGGAAAAAAAAAGCTTTGGATTTGTCCGATGTAATATTTGTTTTGATCTGAGAGGATTAAGAGTGCTGTGAATATAACTATATATACGTACATGTATTTCCACTGTGCATTTATCCAATATTTGCAAATACATGGTAATTTAAGGCTCATTTGTGAATATAAAAATATGCATAATAAGTTGTGATTGAACATGTCATCATAGACTGTTTTGTGAGAAAAGGAAGTTTGAAATGGAACAAGGTTTTCATATTCTAAGAATTAGACATTGTAGTTCTATACAGAATTGTGTTCATATACAATGATGTGCACTGAAGTGGTAAAATTTTTCGTTTTAATGGAATGTTTGGGTCTTGTTATCGAATGTCATTTGTTACATAATGACATACCTTTTTCTTTAGAATTGAGAAAGCAATATTCATTGTGCTGGCACAATGATGTAAGACACCCCACTCTCTGAGACTAGCAACACAAGTTTTCCTGAAATGGAGATTTCATATACTGTAGATTTGCAAATAATCACTATGGTTTTAATTTTGCTATGTTCGTGATCCATCATTTTTCCGCGAAATTAAACCCATCGTGAATGCTATCATTAGTTTTTAAAAAAACGTGTAAATGCTTATATGAAATTTAAATTAATTTCTTGCAGCGAGAAATTAAAAACTATCGCGATTGGTACTCTTTGAGAAATCGTGAAATTTTAACAGCGTGGAATTAAAACGGCATACAGTATTTTTGGCCAGAGAGCTAGAGACTCCCTACTTCTGTAAAACTCAAGTATTGCATTGATTATGTGCATGATTACATGTATGCATTTGTCATGTCTATTGAAGTTATCACAACAGTGTGTAGATCCAACACATGTCTCGTCTACCCAGTGTTTATGTAGCTGCCAATCTGATAGTATCTGATTGAATCTCTTGTATTTATAGAATACCTCTTCTTCAGGTATTCAAATGAAGCATGTGAGAAAAATTTATGAGAATCAAAGACTTTCTCCCTCTCTGTGCATACTGGCGTCTCTCTGCCCACTAGACCCTACAATAAATCCTTTTCTCCTTTCTGGGCATGTCATTATGCAAAAACAACAATAAGAATAAGAAATTAAAGCTTAAAATGTTTCATTCAAGCAAAAATTTTACCACTTCAGTGTGCATCATTGTATTTAGTATGTATACATCTTTTGTATTGACATCAGGGGAAGAAAACCAGGCCAAACAAACCAGGCTATACAAAAATGTATTGTAATGATCTACTCCCCCACTAGATTTGTTCACAAGATCTAGGCTCTCTTTTTTCTGTTTAGATAATAAAATATTCAATAGGTTGTGAATTGAACATGGTTAATTTACAGGCATAATTGTGCTAGTCTAGTTGTTTGTATTGATGATTTATGAAGAGATGAGTTAACGAATGAAATTTGAGAACTTGGTAACAAGGTTTAATATTTTAGTGGAGTATTCAATATAATTGTAAAATCAATACATTTGCTTTAAAACTCAATGTGTGTCAATTATCTGCAGTTGGAATTTGTTAAATACAGTATAAATAGATCAACATACAGGCTCTGTATGGTACTTGTAATGTTTATATAGAAACATGTTTCAATGTATTCTCTGATTTATCTAGATATGTGCATTAATAGCAAATGTCCTAAAATATATGTTTCATTGTCTTAATTCTGTTTTATATTGTGGTAAATTACGTGTTTTATACTGCAGATGTATTACACATGCAACTATAAACATATCAAACAGGTTCAAAGTTGCTTTATAGATAATTTATTTTTTGCATGGACGTCATAATCTTCCATTAAATGATCAATTCATTATTTGGTTTATGGCTTCTTCTTTCAAGTGTTCTGTTACACTTTTTTGATTGTGTATTGATTGATTACTCTCACAGAATCCGAACAGTTTATGTTTTTTAAAAAATGCTTATCAATAAATGTCTTACTCATGTTACTTGCATGGTAAAATGAAAGTTGATCAATGTTGCCTGTGAAAAAAACCTAAAACATTATTCCTTTTTTTAAAAACAAAAATTAGTAATTATGTTAGCATTTCCTGAAATTTTTCTCTTTATATGGCTCAATATCTTTTTTTAGCTCACCTGAGCCAAAGGCTCAAGTGAGCTTTTCTGATCAAAATTTGTCCGTTGTCTGTCGTCGTCATTGTCGTCGTTGGCGTCGTCGTCGTTGTCGTAAACTTTTCACATTTTCATCTTCTTCTCCAGAACCACTGGGACAATTTCAATCAAACTTGGCACAAAGTATCCTTGGGTAAAGGGGATTCAAATTTGTTCAAATGAAGGGCCACTCCCTCCTCAAAGGGGAAATAATTACGAAATAGCAAAAAATTAATGGCATTATTGAAAAATCTTCTTCTTAAGAACCCATGGGCCAGGAAAGATGAAACTCATATGGAATTATTGTCAGGTAGTGTAGATTCAAGTTTGTTCAAATCATGACCCCGGGGGGTAGGGTGGGGCCACAATGGACGATCAAAGTTTTACAGAGGAGGATATAGGAAAAATCTTCAAAAATCTTCTTCTCAAGAACAGCAAAGCTATGATTGGTCATATTTATATGGAAGCATCCTCATGTGGTGTAGATTCAAGTTTGTTCAAATCATGACCCCCGGGGGTAGGGTGGGGCCTCAATGGACGATCAAAGTTTTACATAGGAATATATAGGAAAAATCTTCAAAAATCTTCTTCTCAAGAATAGCAAAGCAATGATTGGTAATATTTATTTGGAAGCATCCTCAGGTGGTGTGGGTTCAAGTTTGTTGAAATCATGACTATCAGGGGGTAGGATGGGGCCACAATGGACGACAATTAAAGTTTAACATAGGAGGATATAGGAAAAATCTTCAAAAATCTTCTTCTCAAGAACAGCAAAGCTTTGATTGGATATATTTTTTTGAAAGCATCTTCAGGTAGTGTAGATTCAAGTTTGTTCAAATCATGACCCCCGGGGGTAGGGTGGGGCCACAATGAACGTTCAAAGTTTTATATAGGAATATATAAGAAAAACCTTTAAAAATCTCAAGAACAGCAAAGCCACAGTTTGTAATATTTATATGGAAGCATCCTCAGATAGTGTAGATTCAAATTTGTTCAAATCATGACCTCCAGAGGTAGGGTGGGGCCACAGTGAAAGTTCAAACTTGTAGAGAAGAAAGTCACAGTTAGTCAAAAAATTATGTAAGCAGTGTAGATTTAATTTTGTTCAAGTCATATCCCCCCCCCACTCCCTTTTAGGGGTAGGTTGGGACCATTTATGCATTTAAGCTTTTCAATACTAAACTGATTTTTCCTTTTTTCCTGGCAACAGTGCTCAGGTGAGCGATGTGGCCCCTGGGCCTCTTGTTTTATTTCATAATTTCATTTGATCATAGAAGCAAATACATGTATCAAATATCTTTCTTGTCCTGTCTATATAAATATAAGATCATATTTTATGTTTTTGTGTTATTTGGCATTATTTTACTGTGTTTTGATTGGTTACTTGGCAGTATTTTACTGTGTTTTGATTGGTTATTTGGCTTCATTTTACTGTGTTTTGATTGGTAGTGTTTCATTGCCTCCCGTCAGAGTTCCAGGCAAGGGTCTCCTAGGGTAAGTCTTGAACACTGTCAAGATTTACTTTTTGCCGGATTGCTAAGCAAACAAGGTTTTTAGATTTATGATGTCCAACTCCTTATGATTGAAGAATACTGTCTGTCACTTGATTGCATCTTGTAAGATACCTTGTCCTTGTAGGCTAAGAAAAAGTTTTCCATGACCAGCTGTCCAATGGTAAAAGTACATCAAAGTCCTATAATTTTGTTGCTTGATGCTTTCACTCATGTACCCTTTCTTTACTTCATGTTGAACCAAAGAAATATACCTCGCCATAAAAAAATCTCATGTAAGTTTGTATATATGCAGGTGCCCAATAGTAATCACATTTTAGGGTCACATGGTGAAAGGTCAGGGTCAAAAGGCAAGATAATTAATATGACCAATGTGATAAGCTTGGATTGGATATTTTTTATAGTGAATCTTCTTATTTACTCCCTAGGTAGATAATGTTTTGATGAAGATCGACATCTATTGATTTTGGTGTCTCCATTAAAGATCAAGGCCAATGGTTGAG